ACTCGTATATACTATTGTTTTTTTCGTATACGTTTCTTTTCAAGAATAGAGGCTCAGAACAGAACAGAATGAAGTGAACGAAGCATCGGCCATCAGCGACGAGATGAAATGCCGGAGCAAAAGAGGAGGAGAGTCATTTATTCTTATCGACGAATCGATAATAACATATCATTAACAAATTATCCATTTAATCGTTACCATAAACTTCTCCGATTAATAATTACATTATCATCATTAAGGGCGAACGCTTCGTACTTTCGACAAACAGAACAGAACAGAAATGAACGAGGCATCGGCCGTCGGCGACGATGAGACGCCATGGCCAGGGCAAAAGAGCAGGAGAGTCGTTTATCGATATTATCGTGCGGCCGGCAGCGGCAGCGCACCGTCGCCTCGAAGGAACGATAGCGAGCGACCGTTAACTCAGGCCGCGACGCGACGCGACAGCACACATGTCGCGCAAATAGCTCGGCGTAGCCGTGTATATGCGTGTATATGCACACGCACGCGTATACACGCATACACGCTCACGCGTCGCGCACTCTTGCACGTACACGGTACACATGTGAATCCGAGACGCGTTTTCGCGCTCACGCTCGCGTGTGTATATCCTTCCGCGAAAGGCAGGCGAACCGGACGACGACGACGACGACGATGACGATAACGACGACGACGAAGATGAGCGAGGCCCGACACTGCTTCGCTTCTTCGTTTCATCGTATACGCTTCGAGGGAAGCAGGTGAAAATTAATTGTACGGGTTTTACTCGACTCGCGTTCTACGGAAGAGTCGCGGATCCAGTCTGCTCGCGTCTACCCGCGACAGCGGCTCGTGCAAGGTGTACGTGTGTATATGTATGTATGTATGTATGTATATGTGTGTGTGTGTGTGTGTGTGTGTGTGTGTGTATGCGTGCGCGCCTTCATCCTATAACACCAGGACGCCATCGATCGATTTTCCTCTCGGCGTCGTCGTCGCCTTGTTGCCCATCGCCCTCATCACATTCCCCCCCCCATCCCTCCTTCCGCCCATCGACTCTTCTCCCCGCCGTCGCGAACGCTTCCTCGTGCCTCTCGCGACGCAATGTTGGCGCGCGCGAGACTCGATTCGTTAATCGTAGATCGAAGCCGCGTCACGCCAACGGCCAACGCGCCTTATCCGCGAAATCATATTTTTGTTACGTCGCCGCGCTCTTAGCAACGCCATAACCGCCGCGCGTATTTCACGTCCGGGACTGGGGTCAGCTGCTCTCCGCGATATACGCGGACTGAGAGATACGAGCGGCGTCGCGGCCATCGTTAAAAAGAGAAAATTATTTCCTTTATATACCGAATTAATTTCGACGATACCACGAGCCGAGCCAAGTCACTGTTACAACCTATCAAGATGTTATTCACATAAATGTCATCATGAGTTTATCAAGCATATTAATTCCGTCTATCTTTTTCTCGGAACATCTTATTGTTTCTCGAATGTCTTATTACATTGCTATTTCACGGGAGAAATCATCGATCTCGTGTACATCTGCAATTTGGTTTGAAAGTTATCCATCCGTGTTTCAATAGTATCCAACTGATGCTTTAACGTGATTTATAATTAATTATAATCTCGCCTGGCATTACAATTCTGTTAGTTTTAGTGAACTCCAAATCGATTGAATCTAAGATTATTTGCGATAATTCCTTACCTCATTCATTTATCACAGATTTTTTATGTTACATATTTATATACGTAGAGTAACTATCGGTTATTGTGTCTATTCTTATTAATGTACTTTTGAAAGAAGTCATAAGCAAAAGTAAACGAGAAAAATACTTGTTAAATTAAATTATTAATGTATATGACATAAAGTATGTTTAATTTTTTAACTATTAAAATATAGCCAATATTTTTTCGAAAATATAAGAAATTTATATGAGTCCGGTAATACTGCAAGATTTTAAATTTTTCCATATATGTATAAGAACATTGTGTTATGTATGTACATTGAAATGATGAGTACAATTAAAGTAATGATTTATGCAGTATTAAACAATTAGCTAACATTTATTATCTATTTTAATAACTATATGTTAAATGAATCAAATGTGGATAGGCAAATTGGAGGCACATTAACACAAAGCTATTCCTAATGAGAGACAAAAATTTGTCTTATTTATGTTTTATTTTTATCAAGAACATTTAAAATATTAACATACTATTTTAAAATAAAGAATTTATTCTTAAACATAATAAAATATCGTTATAATATTAACAGAAACAATAAATCTCAAGCATAGCTGAAAAAGACGTACGCAGCCGTGCTCATGCTTGTCATCATCGCGATACGCTTTCATCCGAGATTTTAGCAAAGTTGGAGCTCTGAAATCCTAAACGTGCGCGGGGACAGCGATAATTATCGAGAGTAGGACGCCTCTCTCTTTCTCTCTCTTTCTCTTTCTTTCGCTCTTGCTGTCTTTCTCTGCGCTTCGGTCGCGCGGTGAAAAACGAGCCGGTATACGTGACGAAATGCGGTCGGTCCTCGCGCGTGTATCGCCGACGAGGCCGCGGGATATCGGGGCGCGTACAGGTACACACTTGTCGCTTATTCGCGTTCGTGCGAGCGCGACGGTTACTCGCGGTAAATTTACCCGCGAATTATCGCGAGAGCGAGTCTCCTTACCGCGCCTCTCCTCTCCTCGCCTTGCCTCGCCATGCCTTGCCTCGCCTCGCCTCGCCTCGCTTCGTCTCGCTTCGCCCCGCCTCGTCTCGCTTTGCCTCGTCTCGCTTCGCCTCGCCTCTTCTCGTGCCTTGCCGCGCTCGTTGTAACTCCGGTCTCCGCGTCGAATGCTTGATACCGTAGGTATCCGGATTTTAGGCCGCGCGCTCGTAAATCCGACTCTCCCTTGGGGATTGCAGGCGGAGGTGGCGAGAAGGATTTAAGGTTTTGCTGCATCCGACATCCTCTGACCCTCTCTCTCTCTCTCTCTCTCTCTCTCTCTCTCTCTCTCTCTCTTTCATATTTCGCACAAAAGGGAATGCCGGGAAACCTCGGCAAATGTTATAAATATTACGGAATTTCCTTATTATGTAAAAGCACGAGAGCAGTTCAGTTTTTTTGTACTGGATGGATATGCATTTCTTGTTCTTTCTTTGAACATTGTATGTGATTCGCGAAACCGCTTCAGACTTGAAAATATTATTTAGATTTGACATTCGATTAATCCACCTATCTAAATATTATGTAAATGTGATCAGGGATACATCCGGTGTCAGAGACTTGAATTATTTTCTGCTTAAACGATTAATAAATATTGTTAATGACAAAAAGGGATACAATGTAAGAGTCGAGTCGGAAAAAATCTTTTCAAAAATTTCTTTTCCAAGAATTCTTTTCAACATTTCCACTGTTCTTGGAATTTTTCGTGTCTATCACCACGATATGATATAACCCAGACCCCACTTTCTAGGTCTATGGGGTAGGGGTAGTAATTCACAATACCTCAATTCGTCGCATACCGAACATCCTACCTCTCGTTACGCGTGACATCGTTGTCGATGGGTCAAATGACGGAGAAGTAGAAAAGAGACGCGCAATGAAGGGCACAGGAAGCTGGAAGGGAGTATCGCAGACAATTCGCCGAGGATGATAGGGTAGGCGAGGAGGGATGAACCATCGTCGCTGGCGTTACGACAGAAGATATGGAGGGGGGAGATGCGCGCAAAATAATACATCCTGACGGGTACCGCGCAGGTGGTGGGGCAGTCTGACTGACCAGTCGAAGTCGACCACCGCGACGGCAACGGAGTTGGCAGTCAGTTCTATTGTAGTCGTCGCGCTCGACACGAGTATTCGGATGACACGGTAGTACAAAGTATCCGGTGAGCCTTTGTGAGAGTTTAGAGTTTAGTGATCAGCTCGTATCGTAAGAACGGAAAACCAGACGCTACGCGAAACGAACGCACATCTTTCGGGGTGTCGCGCTCGCGAGCATCGTGTTGATCACTTTGTTGATCCAAAACTTGATATTCGTGAGAGAACGAAAGGACAGACGCAACGTAAAACAAACGCCGCATCATAGTAGTGTTAATCGCGATTCGCGATCTATGTTCGCGAATCTATACTAAAAAAAAAGCCGTATCCTTGGACAAGGACGAGAAACACGCTGTGGCGAAAACTGAAAACTGATCTTGGATTCTTGGAGCCGGTGCGCGATCTTCCGTGCCGGAACGTGTGTGCCTATCGCCGTCTCCATTTCACCCGATTCATCTATCTCGCTCACGCTCCGACTACCACCCCAACCATGCTATTCCTCGTGGTACAGCAATAATATCGTTTCCCGCGCGCACTTCGGATTGGCTGTTGCAGTCGCAACTCCGGTGGAGAGCGGTGAGGTATACCGGGGAGTACCAACACGCTCCGTTTTACTCGCGCTAGCGCCGTCAACGGAGAGGAGCAGAGGGAGAGCGATACGTGGAGCGGCAAGGTGTAGAGCAACGGCAGCAGCAGTGCCTTGCTTCGACGGAGGGCAGCAGTGTGTAGGAGGGGGAAGAAGCGTGAGAGAGAGAGAGGGAGAGAGAGAGAGAGAGAGAGAGAGAGAGAGAGAGAGAGAGAGAGAGAGAGAGAGAGAGGGGGTGGTTGTAGTCGCCCGACCGACCGACCGAGTTGTTTCATTCATAAAAAAGTTCTTTATTACTCTCTGTGAGCGCATGTGCTATTCCACGGAGGAGGAACGAGTACTACTACTCCCCCGACTGGCTGCGACGGCGTAACCGCGTTTACACACAGTATTATTTACTACTGTGCGAGATACGAATCGGCGCCACACGCCGTACCGGCAGCGCGGCGTACGGATCGTTCCGTTCTAATCTCCACGTTCGTACCAGTCATCATCGCATTCGTCGTTCAGAGAGAAACTTTGTGTGTCCGTAGCAACGAACGTATAATTTGACTTTTTAAACTTATTCCTGGTTTCTAATATCAATCTCGTGCCAAATACTCTTAAATAGTGCTTTGAAAATTAATTGACATTGGTGAAAGAAGATAAAGACAATCAGCGAACATAGTATTAAGTGTCCAAGTGTTGACACTACGAAGAACAGCAAACTGGATCAACAACAAGAATCCGCCGTGGATCTTTCCCCAGATTCGGGGGGATCTGCGGATCGAAGAGATCGTAGACCAACACGTCGTCAACATAATACCAGCCATTATCATCGTCAAAATTACATGTTATCTGGCAGATATGAAAACAATTTAAACAGCGATCCTGGGCCGAGTACGAGTTCTAGAGGTACGATGCCGCGAAATGAATCCCGACAGGCGGGCAAGCGACCGTTGAGGGCTCTCACGCCCCAAGAAAAAATAGATGCAATTAATAGAGTTCATAACGGTGAATCCAAAGCTGCTGTGGCACGCGACATCGGCGTGCCAGAATCCACCCTTAGAGGGTGGTGTAAAGCAGAGGATAAAATAATGTCGCAAGTCAATAATATAAAAACTTCGGGAACGACACTGCCAGGAACATCCTTGGCAGGTTACGAACATATTTTGACATCGAGTTCTGATAATAGTAACAATAGTGCTGTGGGTGGTTCTTCATCGAGATCGACACCAACGACCCAAGCTACAATGTTGGGATTATCGACTTCTGCAGTTACGGAGAGAACTGAGGAGTTTGAAGCCGGTCCATCTCACAAAAGAATCAAACTTGAGAATAGTTCTGCCGGTACCACAATGGCCAATAACATTTCATCAGTTCGAGCACCGGTAGTTAGTGACACCTTATTTAACAACTTATATAATATACCGAGTGATGCAAACAAGACCGTAGCAACAGCCTTTTTAAACTCACTTGGGAAGGAGGTATATTTTCCTTATCCTGGATACGCGAATGTTATAAATTTGATTAATGAAATTGCTAGGACTCACGGTCCGACGTTTGCGCTGAATATACTGAAACAGCAACAGCAACTGCAACAGCAACTGCAACAGCAACAGCAACAGCAACTGCAACAACTGCAACAACAAACTAATAACACACTACTTAATGGGAATAAAAGGAAACATAGTGCCCCAGGACTTACATCAACTATGGACATCCCGAAACCATCATCGAGAACACAGAACAATCAATCACCGAATATGGAAAAATCGTCTGGGAATGTCTCTCAATTGAATTATGAAATCGCCATGCCATCGACTAGCAGCAGTGATCCAGTCGCAAACATTCCTCAAAGAAAAACATCCAGAAAAAGTAAAAGTCTTTCTAGTGTAATAGATGGTCTTTATCAACCATATGAACCACCCTCCTCAAGTAGCGTAAAAGCAGTGAAGTTTGACACTGTAAATAATAATAACAATGATGACGATATGGATAATGAGACGGCGAGAAAAAATTATCCTGGTATCTTGCCACCAGGATGTAACGAAATGGTGGAATATTGCACCAAATTGTTACAATGGTTACACCTTTACGGTTCGCCTGTAAGTACTATGAAACAAATAGGATATATTCAGCGAATTTCAACACGTCTACAAGATTGGATCCAGAAGTCAAAAAAGGAACTTCCCCAAAGAACTAATGGTATAAGCTAGCTGTAACAATCATACATTTAATGTATATTTGTAAATATATAATTGTAAATATATATATATATATATAATGTAAATAATGTATATGTCTATTATGCGTTAGATACATTGAGACAAAAGTCTGGTAATAGTTAGTAAGTTTTGTTGATTGGCGCAATATTTAGTATTATCAAACATAATAATAATAATTAACTGATTGATAATAATAATTACTATGTATTTAGAAAAATAAAATTATCGTTTAGTTGCTCCAATTTGATACTTAAAACCAAATTATTCATTAATATTAATGAATATTTAATTATCTGTAATTATTTGTAAATATGTAATTATTGTCAAAATGAAAAAAGATTTACTGATTAATTTTATAATAGTTGTTAGATTATTTGGTGCAACTAAGCGTCTAAACATAGTCAGGACTGCCGGTCGTTTCTAGCATATAAAATTTAGTCGAGCTTTCTGTATAATCAAGTCTATATGACTGAAGCTCAGATATAATTATATAGAAGACAAATGAGATAAATGTCATCTATATAATTGCCAATAGTGTTTTTCTGAGTGTAGTTACCAAATTGTTAATAATAACTTTAATAATTGTTGTTAAATCGTACAGTAATTATAACCAAATGACTTGATATTATTTATTAAATCAAATAAAAATTTTAATTTTTTATGATATGAGGTTAATTTAATAATATTTGCTATATTATTCAGTATGTATTTATAAATTACTATGTAATTTAACTTTATCAATTCGTTTGGTTATATTTATTCGTACGATTTAGTAATAATCAACTAGCTTTGATCAATTTCCAAATTTTGGTTAAACTATTTAATTAATAGTTAACAAATTTTTTGATTTTATATGTGTATATATATGTATATTTCTTGAACATATAAGTGAAACTGTTTCACCAAAGTGTTTAGTAATTATCATCTAGGTTAGATTATATTGTAATTATTTTTAAATTTTTCAGTATTGCATTGTCTACAATCTTGCTTTAAAAGGTCATAAGCTGTAAGTAACAATATACAAAACTTATGCTTTTAGAGCGTAAGAATTGAGTTTTGCTTAATTCGCTTAAGTCTAACGGTTAAAGTCTAAAGACTGGGCAAAAATAGTTTAAAAACAGAAATTGTCATTTAATCTCTTTCGACTTATGACTTAAGATCTCTTAAAGCAAGGTGGACCGAGACTATGTTTAAATGCGTTATGCGTTATTATATTTAATACTTTCATTTTTTTTTTTAAATATGTATGACAAATCGCATAGCGATGCTTATGAAAGTCTTTTTTTCCTATTTTTTTCTACCTCTCTTAAGATAGTGTTACATTTAGGTTACGTTTAGGAATTTATTTTTTTTTTTTAATAACAATTATTAAATATTTCAAATATTTCAAATTAATATCATCATTTATTACTTGTTTATTTAAAAAATTATTTGGATTACGCGCGACGACGTCAAATATACGAAAAAGAAAATCTCAAATTATTCCTTTCCAGATTTTTTTACTTACCATAATGAAAGCTTCGGCTAGTGGCTGATACTCGATGTTATCACTGATGAATTGTATACATCCACGCCATGTATATAATTCCGGATACGGCAACGTACTTCGTCTGATACTTGTAGATACAAATTTCTACGGAAAGCAGAAAAAGCGTTTATTCTAATAGCGTTTCTCGTCGCGGCGTATATTTTTGCAGTCCTCTTTTATATTATTAAGTATTCTTATCATGTTAATGATTTAAATTACGACAAAACAACAAAAAATTTTCTTGTATTTTAATGATAATTGATTACGATTAGTGTACATATTTTATTTCTGATCTTTTAATTTTTGTAAAAATTAGTTTTATCTTTGTATAAAATCCAACTGTAAAAAAAGTAAAAAAAATAGAAATAAATATAAAAATCCATAAAGTTTGTCTATATTTTTTAATCCTCAGAATAATAATCCTTATTATATTTTTAAGAATATTTTAAATCAAATTGTCGTGCGAAATCTTGAATTAAATATTATCAAGATAAAAAATTCCATTGCTCTCAATTTCTATATCGTCTGTAATAATTTATATATATATATATATCCTAATCCTTAATGTATATTATGTATTTGATACAATATATATACAAATATATATACAAATTTCTTAATCACTACTTCTTGTTCTCACAGATTTCAAGAATTATATTATACATTAAATTTTACTATAAATGTCGATACGAATTATTAATCTAAAGAAGCCTTAATGACATTTTGAACAATTTTTTTTTAATGTTATATGATTTCATATTTTAACTATGCAATAGCCTAATCAGCTGATCTTGTGATCAGCTGATATTACAAACAGCTGACTTTGCAATCAGCTGATTTTACGTTTCACTACGCATATTTGTAATAATCTACATTCGTAAATTGCAAATATAAAACGTAAAAATTCTATTACAAAATTTTATGAATATAAATATAAAATACGCTACTTTTATAAGATAAGTCTTTGATGAATATATCTTTTTTCTTTAACCGATTTATTAGACTTCCATAATGATTTGAAAAAAGAAGACAAAATAATTTTGTTGAAATGTAAGATTTTCGTGTAGTACTTAATTAGGACAAAAAACAAGGGATTCTTTCTTTTTCTTTATACTGATATTTATTATACTAATTTACAGCAAGAATGCGTGATTATCAATCAAGGATCTTTTTCGAAATCGAAAGATTTTACCCACTTGTACACGACATTCATTTTCGCAGGCTAACAACAACGGTCGGCGATTCACATACTTCGCATAGAACTGCCGTCGAAAATTTTCCGCGTACCACAGTAGTAGTCGCTCCTTGTCACTGACACAACGATAGGTATTCGGAAGTGATCGTACGTAGAGGTTTTCCGTCATTATGGAGACATCCGGCCAAACAACTTGATCAGGCACAATTCGCGTTGCACTTGCTGCAGGATCTCTTCGACAGTACTAGTGGATTTTTCTATGTCGTGCTCGTTCTCTGGACGTTTATCCGGCGACGGATGTAGATCGTCGAAATCGAATTGCTTCTCAGTCGCGAGATTTGTCATGATGTCATTCATTGCCACGGCAATTTAATTATCCGATGTGAACCGTAAAAACACGCGTTTAAGCCGATTGACCGCGAATGTTTATTAGCGTAATTATGAAACCGCGATTTAAATTCACATCGACATGCAAACAAGCCGTGGTCACTATGACAACGTGATACGGCAAGTGTACTTCGATTAAAGTACCGTACGTAGATGGCAGCATCAAGTGGAATATAGGTAATAAAAATATTTAATATTAGGAATTGAAAACTTACAAAATATATACTTATTTACTAGTAATTATATTCGTATTTATTAGCGAAGATATTTACGAAGAAAGTTGATCTTTATTTTTTAAGGATACTTAGGTATTTTGAAAACAATAAAAGAAAAATAAAATTTTGTAATTAAAAATCTTGTCATGAGAAAAGTGAAAAAAGTCTTGCTTCAATAATTATCTTATAATGAAAAGCCTCGGAATTATACTTGCCGTCAATAAGAAATGTGTTACCTTAAAGGGATCCTAAAGCAAAGCTCAAACTCCGATGGAATCACTAGATGTCGGGCCGCGCGCCACATCGCATGTCTTTTTATATTACCACAGCAATATTTCACGCAACTTGTGATTCACACAGTCATATGCGCTTGTCAATTTACATATAAGCACCGACGAGATACTATTAAAGACCGACATTCTTGCGGGAGTTTGCGTCCTTGTAAATATTAAGAGTTAAAAACTGATAATATTGTACTAATTTTATGATTTATTAATTTAGTAAATATAATTATTCATGACTTAATTAATACTCGATTTTTCTTTAAAATTGTGATTTTAGTATTATCGTCAAAGTTTGATTATCACCAGAGATGATAATCGCAGAAAAAAATTATAATTTTTCTGTGATTTATATATAGAATATTATAGCTTTACAAATTTGTATATTTATTTACGGAACAAGTATGTAATAAAAAATCATGAATTTATAAGCCAAATATTTATGTTAATAATAAATTTGTATCGATTATCAATGTCAGCGTTCTTCTATTACTTCTGGATCCTAGAAGCCCTTTTTATATCGCTGAAAATTTGCTCAGGATTGATGATCTTTAATAGTATCTCGTCGGTGGTAAGAAATTCGTTGCGATAAAGCATCTAAATCTAATTTTAAGAACTCGAAGAACGTTGTTTGTTCGTGTAAACTACGGATATCACTATTTCGTACGTACAGCAGATTGCAAAGTTTCATATCAAGTAAATGTTGTCACAACTTGATAGCTAAGTTGCCATGTGACACTAAGAAATGATAAAAAATGTATCAATTTCGAAAGTTTTGATCGTTCTCGACACAGATTTCAATATCCAGACACGTATTAATGCGTATATTTTAATCGTGGAAAAGGAGAGATTTTGAATCAGTGAAAGAGAAAAAAAAAGTATTTCTTAAAATTATATATGCTTACACGGTTAAACAGGAATCTTTAAGATCCTTAAGTTACTAAGCATATAACAAAATCGAAGATATCGTTATTGAATAGGGACAGACAAAAAAATTGCATGCATTTTTCTAATTATTATATTTTATATAGAATAAAAGCACTCAGTAATTCATTTAAATTTGTCGGTAAAGAAGAAATTATCTTATACTGAAGTTATAAATGTGTCAAATCAATAGTTGAGTTTAAGCCGGCAAAGCGGCTGCACATGCTTGCCGAGTAAATGAACATGATTAGTTCTTATCTGTGGATCCAATCATGTTTAATTACTCGGTGAGCAGACCTAGTCGCTTTGTTTACTTGACCTATTAATATTGTTGTAGATAAGAAGTATCTTCGATTTTTGTAAGAAAATTATCAAATTTAAAATTTGAAAGAAAAAAGAAAAATATCTTATTTTGTACGAAACACACAGAGATATTTATTGTGCATTTGCTTGGCATCGATAAGGAAGAAATTGCATCAAATAAGATTATAACTTCAAAAGTAAAATAATAAAAAATGTATTAAAATATAAAAAAACATTCTTTTGTAAATTACTCCACATCTTTTTTCCTATGATTAATCAAAATTCTAAAAATTGCAATTTATAAAATTTTAAGCTTAGGAATTTCAAAGTGAAAAAAATCAATTTTATAAGACCACATTTATTAACATTTAGAAGCGCGAGTCTAAATTAATTTAATCGCGATTCAAGGGAGGATTAAAAATAAAATTACATGTAATTAATTATAATTATTTATAAAGTCACAAAAATTTAAACTCCGTGCAAATCCAAATTAACTGAAAAAGAATAACTATCAGATGCGTCAATAACGACACTGCAGTCGTGGTTTTAGTGTGAAAAGAGAATATAATTGATAAGAAAGTTGCTAATTTATCTAAAATTATAAATTTTTTTCAGAAATTCCAAGAACTTTAAGGGGTTTAGAATTGCGCAAATGTTAATTCTTCAATCGATATTAGAACACAATTAAAAACTAAATAAACGATTTCGAATTTATTAATTTTATTCATTAATTAAAAAAAATTTATTACTTTTTATATGAATAGGACTATTCCAGAGAACATTTCCAATAAACAAAAATTCATTCGTACAATATTATTGCAACGATACTTGTAGCCCAGGAAAATTAGATTTTTTGGAAGCAAAAGTGTTATAAGAGTTTTGTTTGCAGAAAGTTATTTGAAATGAGGTATTCTACATTATACTAAGAGTCCTAACCGCCAGTGGACTTGCTAACTTCAACAAACTCATAAAAAATGCGATTTTTCAAAAATATCTCAGAAATATTCATTTTATCGAAATAAAGATTATTATCAAAAAAAAAAGTTATAAAGCTGATAAAACTAAACTGAAAAGTTTAAAAAAACTGTCAACTGTCAGGATTTTTAGTATGTTGTATAATATGTCATTTCGAACAACTATCTGCAAACAAATCTTTTATAGCAATTTTGCCTTCGAAATGCAAAATAAAAAATTTAATTTTTCTGGGCTATTATTACATGTACCTAATGTTTTAATGATTCTGAATATCATACATATTATCTTGAAAATTTGATGATCTTGAAATTTCTATGACATTAAAATGAAAATGAAACATTGTTGCTAATAATTTTGTTAATGATTTTTTAATAATTCAGTATTGTTGGATAATTTTTTAAGGAGAGAATTATCAGAAGATGCTTTCAAATCTACGAACATCATGTATATTTTTTTCTACCGTCCTCATACATCTGTCTCTGTATTAAATGAATCAACATATAAATGTTTCTTCTTCTGAAATTAGCTTGGCTATTCAGGATCATACTTTTTGCTTTTACCTCCAGCTCTAGTCTGTATTATCATTTCCGCATATAGTTTATACAGGGTGTCTCAATAATTATTATCAGAAATATCTTCTGATTTATACGGTGTAGAGAAAAATTTATATAACCAAAATTTCACGGCGTAAAGGGAGCTATGATATAGTGATAATAATTTTTGTCCAGGTAGAGGCACTTCGGAGATTTCAAGATTCCGTTTTTTTAAATGGAATTGTATAATTTTTTTACACAATGTGATTGATCTCTAATTATTCTATATATAAAAGTATTAAGATAGTGATATAAAAAAAAACCAGTTGATGAGATATTTTACACTTTATTCTGGTACATATTGACATAAAATGTTAAAACTTGTCAAAAATTTAACAGTTTACGAATTATTTAACATTTTATTTACCATTTTATGTCAATATGTGTCAGAATAAAGTAAAACATCTTATAAACTATTGATTTTTTGATATCACTACTATTTTTATACATCGATATTCCATTATTTCCCAGCTACTTTCATTCGCTTCATTTTTCAATATCTGTCTTTCCTGTCCCTTTAATTCTTCACGTTTGTCCCTGACTGTGATTTTTGCTCTTCCCATCTAGAATAGAGATGAGAAAAAAATATTTTTGATTTGAAGAAAAGTATCAAGTAAAAAAATTAATTTTTACTGTAAATAATGGTATTTTTGATTAAATTATATAAAATTATATATAAAATTCATGAAAAAATATATAATTATTTGAATGACAGATATTTTATATTTAAAAGCTAATTGAGTGATATTATTAATACAGATAATTCTTTACAAGCATAATAGATATTGTCGCATATTGATTATAATTGTATTCTATATTTTAATCATTTTGTATTTCATATTTTAATTATTTTGATACTATATCCCAATATAATATTGATTTAAGAGTAATTAGAGATTTGATGGACGTTGTCTCACTAATTTTAAATTTAGAATATGTATAATTACAATCACTATATACAACAAAAACGGTATCAATTAGTTTAGTAAAGTATTATTTGTATTAATAACAGCATGAACGTTTACTTAACTTTTAAAATTGAAGTACAGTATAAAATATCATTCAAATAATAGTCAAATAATAGTGAGTATAAAATATCATTCAAATAATAAGATATATATTTTACAGCCATCGATATTATATTAATCATTATACTATATTTTAACTTTTGTAATATTTTGCACAGAAATCTTACGGACTTTTATGAATAGAATAATGAGATGATCAATTGGTGGAAAGAAAATACATAGTAGTTACTTAAAAAAAAAAAATATGTATGCAAAATGAATAGTTTTTTAAATAACGATTCTGTATTTTCTTTTCATCAGTTGATTCATCTCATTGTTCGGTTCATATAATATTAAGAAAAATTATTAAGAACTGTAATAAGAAAATCCTTATTATAAAATAATTTAAGTATTAATAATCAAATTAGGGCATTTAGGAATCGACGTTGTAATCGGTGATAATGATTTATTCAAGAAATAATAAGAAAATAATTTATCCAGAGAATAGTTATAATATATCCACAATTTCTATACTTGCGGAGTAACCTTTTGTTCGCATCAAAACTGACTAATTTATACTTTGATAAATCCATCTGAAAGAAAAAATATAAAAGAAAAGAACACAAATGAACACAACATTTACAATAATTAAATTTGATC